ATTTTACTTGACATATAGTTGTCACTTAAAAAAAAATGTATTGATGTCTAGATGATAAACAGGCTTCCCTGGTGACACAGACGGTAAAGAATCCACCTGCAATGCAGGAGACCTGGGTTTGGGAAGATTCCCACGGCAACCCACTCCAATATTCTTGCCTGGAGAATCCCCATGGACAGAGGAGATTAGCAGGCTATAGTCCACAGTGTCACAAAGAGTCAGACACAACTGACTAAGCACAGCACAGGTGATATACAATGTTAGTTTCAAGTGTACAAGATTTGACATTTATGTACATAACAAAATTGTCACCCCAATAAGTCTAGTAACCATCTGCCACCATACAAAATTCCAGTATGATAATATTATGTGTATAAGTAATACTACTGACCATATATTACATCCATTGTTGACTATTGTGTACGTTATATCCCTGTGACTTGACTTATAGCCCTGATCTCCTTCACCTGTTTTGCCCAACCTCTCACCCTCTTCTCTCATCTGAAAACTCCAATTTTTTCTCTGTATCTGTGAGTCTGTTTTTATTTTGTTTATTTGTTTAGTTTTTTTTAGATTCCACATGTAAGGGAAATCATGGGGTATTGTCCTTCTCTGACTTCACTTAGCATAATACCCTCTGGGTCCATCCATGCTGTTGCAAGTACCAAGATTTCATCCTTTCCTTATGGCTGAGGAATATTCTATTGTGTGTATATACCACATGTTCTTTATTCATTTATCTGTCAATGGATGTTGGTCTTTTCTTATAGTCCATTTAAACTAAAATTAATAGAACCAGCAGCTTGCTAACTTTCTAAAAGATACTCATATTGACCTTGGTTTAAATAATAGCTCTGTGAACCTCTGTGAACTTAAGCAAGTCACTGAAGCTCTCTAAGCCTCAGTGGCACATTCTGTAAAGGAGGATGACAGTATCCATGTCAAAGTTTGAGACAATTTTATGAAATAATGCATATAAAGTGTTTAGCAGAGTACCTGGAATAGACTAGATAGTGTTCAATAACATTAGTTTTTATAAGTACATTTTATATACAAGGTATAAAGAATTTTTTTTTAAGTAAACCAGTTTTATTGACTATCGCAAAGCCTTTGACTGTGTGGATCACAATAAACTGGAAAATTCTGAAAGAGATGGGAATACCGACCACCTGACCTGCCTCTTGAGAAATCTGTATGCAGGTCAGGAAGCAACAGTTAGAACTGGACATGGAACAACAGACTGGTTTCAAATAGGAAAAGAAGTACATCAAGGCTGTATATTGTCACCCTGCTTATTTAACTTATATGCAGAGTACATCATGAGAAACACTGGGCTGGGTGACTCACAAGCTGGAATCAAGATTGATAGGAGAAATAGCAACAACCTCAGATATGCAGATGACACCACCCTTATGGCAGAAAGTGAAGAGGAACTAAAGAGCCTCTTGATGAATGTGAAAGAGGAGAGTGAAAAAGCTGGCTTGAAACTCAACATTCAAAAAACTAACATTATGGCATCCAGTCCCATCAGTTCATGGCAAATAGATGGGGAAACAATGGAAACAGTGAGAGTCTTTATTTTTGGGGGCTCCAAAATCACTGCAGATCATGACTGCAGCCATGAAATTATAGGACTCTTACACTTATATGCAGAGTATATCATGAGAAATCCTGGGCTGGAGGAAGCATAAGCTGGAATCAAGATTGCTGGGAGAAATATCAATAACCTCAGATATGCAGATGACACCACTGTTACAGCAGAAAGTGAAGAAGAACTAAAGAGCCTCTTGATGAAAGTGAAAGAGGAGAATGAAAAAGTTGGCTTAAAGCTCAACATTCAGAAAACTAAGATCATGGCATCCGATCCCATCACTTCATGGAAAATAGATGGGGAAACAGTGGCAACAGTGGCTGACTTTATTTTTCTGGGCTCCAAAATCACTGCAGATGGTGATTGCAGCCATGAAATTTAAAGACACTTACTCCTTGGAAGAAACATTATGACCAACCTAGACAACATATTAAAAAGCAGAGACATTTTGTCAACAAAGGTCAGACTAGTCAAGGATATGGTTTTTCCTGTGAGAGTTGGACTATAAAGAAAGCTGAGTGCTGAAGAATTGATGCTTTTGAACTGTGGTGTTGGAGAAGACTCTTGAGAGTCCTTTGGACTGCAAGGAGATTCACCCAGTCCATCCTGAAGGAGATCAATCCTGAGTGTTCATTGGAAGGACTGATGTTGAAGCTGAAACTCCAATACTTTGACTACCTGATGCGAAGAGCTGACTCATTTGAAAAGACCCTGATGCTGAGAAAGATTGAGGGCAGGAGGAGAAGGGGACGACAGAGGATGAGATGGCTGGATGGCATCACCGATTCAATGGACATGAGTTTGGGTAAACTCCATTCTTTCTCAGATTCTTTTTCCATATAGGTTATTACAGAATTTTTAATAGAGTTCCTTGGATTATATAGTAGGTCCTTGTTGGTTATTTATTTTATTCTTAAACCTATTTCTTTTTTAATTTTTAAAAACTTATTTTTGGCCGTGCTGGGTCTTTATTGCTGCATGGCTTCTCTAGGTGTGGCAAGTGGGGGTTACTCTCTCGTCGCAGGGTTCAGGCTCTCACTGCAGCGACTTCTCCCCTTGCAGAGCACAGGCTCATGGGCACACTGGCTTTAGTAGTTGTGGAACTCAGGCTCAAAAGTTGCAACTCACTGGGATCTAGAGTATGAGCTAGTAGTTTTGGTGCACAGGCTTACTTGCCCCAAAGCATGTGGAATCTTCCCAGACCAGGGATTGAACCCATTCCCCCTGCATTGGCAGGCAGATTCTTCACAACTGGACCACCAGGGAAGTCCTCATTTGTTTATTGATGGCCATGCTGCATGGCTTGTGGGGTCTGAGTTCCCCAACCAGGGATTGAGCCCCAGCCCTGACAGTCAGAGTACAGAGACCTAACCATTGGACACCAGAGATTTCTCTGGTTACATTACTTGTATATAGGAGTGTATATATGTTAATCCCAAACTCCTAATTTTTCCTTCCCCTACATTCTTCTCCTTTCAGTTCACTCAGTCATGTCCGACTCTTTGTGACCCCATGGACTGCAGCATGTCAGGCTTCCCTGTCCATCACCAATTCATGGAGCTTGTTCAAACTCATGTCCATTGAGTCAGTGATGCCGTCCAACCGTCTGTCCTCTGTCTTCCCCTTCTCTTCCTGCCTTCAATCTTTCCCAGCATCAGGGTCTTTTCAAATGAGTCAGTTCTTTGTATCAGGTGGTCAAAGTATTGGAGTTTCAGCCTCAGCATCAGTCCTTCCAATGAATATTCAGGACTGATTTCCTTTAGGATTGACTGGATCTCCTTGCAGTCCAAGGGACTCTCAACAGTCTTCTCCACACCACAGTTCAAAAGCATCAATTCTTTGGTGCTTAGCTTTATTTATGGTCCAACTCTCACATCCATACATGACTACAAATTGTATTTCCAAGTCTTGAGTCTGTTTCTGTTTGGTAGATAAGTTCATTTGTATCATCTTTTTAGAGTCTCCATATAAGTGATATCATATAATATTTGTCTTTGACTTACTTCAAATCACTTACTTCATATCACTCAGTATGATAATATCTAGGTCCATCCATATTGCTGCAAATGGCATTATTTCATTCATTTAGTGGCTGAATAATATTCCACTGGTAAAGAATCCTCCTGTGAGTGCAGGAGACACAAGAGATACAGGTTTAGTCCCTGGGTCTGTCAGGGAAGATCCCCTAGAGGAGGGACAGGCCTGTAGGGAATTCCCTGAGTAGGGAATATAATGGAATATAATGTTCCATTATACATATATGTAACTCTAGCAAGACTGAATAGAAAATGGCAAAGGACTTTTGCATTAAAAAAATCTCTTTTTTTTTTTCAGGCAAGGATTTATTAGGGCCCCTGCTGCAGCAGGTGGAGCAAGAACAAACAACAAATTCCCTTGCTGGCTCACTCTCTGAGGGGCCCCAGCTCTTTCCTACACGGGGTGAGGGTAGAGTGTGTTCAGGGCTCAGGCCGGAGGGTGGCTGAGGTGCACTGCCCACCCCCGAGGTGGTGGTGTGTGCAGGGGGCAAGTGCAGCACCCTCCTTCTGCTCTGGACGATCTTCTTTTGATTCAGGGCTTCAAAAGAGACAGAGTTTGGGGCCTCTTTACATCTTTTGTCCAAAATTTGCCCTCACTGTGCATACAGGCAGTTATTTTTAATCCCATACAGTTTCCTGGTATTTCGTTGCTTGAGGAGAGGTGTGTTCAGGTACAAGCTTTGCAGCACTTCAGCAAAGGATCCCAGATCCCAGCCTGTCTCATTCCCCCCAAAAGACTCTACACCCTTATTCTAAAGGGGTAAGGGGCTGAAGGTCTCTTGTTCTGAAACTGCTTCCTGCTGGACCAGACTGCTGACCTTAGCCCACCTGAGAGGTAGAGAAGCCCCTCGCTGACTGTTTCAAGGACCTGTGGGAACCTAGGCCACTCTCCACCGAAATGGACTGCATTCCTTGCACCATCATGAGTCTTATTTCAAACTTGCGGAGCCTAAACACACAAACTTAACCAAAAGGTTAAATAAACAAGGGCTAAAAAGGAGAATGACAATAGCCATTGCAGGGCCTAGAAAGGGAAGGAACCAGGTTAACTTTGGTCTTCCTAAGCTGTTGACCAGATAAGGGAGGCGCTAAATCCCCTACCAAAATTATGAAGCCAAGTCTGCCTGGGCTTATATCTCCTTAATATTAACTTTTATGTGTCCCGTCGCATTGATCCGAGTGCAGCAGGAAGTATTAGTTATCCCACAAATTCTACCTTGTTCTGCCAGAAGGTGTACTCAAGGGCCAGACAATTGGCAAGAACCACGCCAGCCAAGGAAACAGTAGTGGTCTCCAGTCCATAAAGGCTTCAAATAGGATCCAACCCACTGCATCCTTTTACTTACAAGGTGCTTGTCTTCTGACTAGGTATCTCAGATCTTCCGCTGGCTCACAGGTGTACTGTTCTTCTCTTGTGCTGTTTCTGGAGGTAAAATCTTTAGTCTGGACAAGTATACCCATTCTCTTTCAGTTTGACAGCAGTGAGGATGGTTTAAATTACTATAGGGGGACTTCCCTCTTGCCAATGGTTGGTTGGGGGAACCCCTCCCGGGTTTTAAGGAGAACTTGGTCACCGGGGTTTCTTTGTGAAGGAACTGCTCCTTCCTATGTATTTTTAGGGGGAGCTGGCAGTGCCTTGTGGGGACAGTCCTGGATTGCTTCTGAACTTGTCCTAGGTAAATGATATATCTCAAGGCCTGGTTCAGGTCCTCATTCACTAGAATGTCAGTAGGAAGAAAAGGTCTCCTATATGTCATTTCAAACGGGCTAAGTCTCAGATCACTCCTGGGGGATACACAGAACTTGAGGACTGCAATAGAAGTAAGCTGGTCCAGGGTTCCTGAGCTTCTTGCCAGAGCTTTGCTAAGGTTTTCCTTAAAGTATGGTTCACTTCTCTAGCTTACCCGAAGACTGGGGGAGCCAAGGGCAGGGAGCTTGTGGTCTGTTCCTGGGGCCACTGTGAGCCCCTGTGCCATTCTGGCTATAGAGAGGGCCTGCTATCACTCAAGAGGCACTTTGGGAGCCCAAACTCAGGAATTATTTCTTTTGAAAAGGACTTACAGACTTCCACAGCCTTTTCAGATTGCGTGGGGGAAGGCTTCAAGCCATCTTGTGAAAATATCAACAAACCTCAGAAGATATTTATGTCCTGATCATGAGGACATTTGGGTGAAATCTACCTACCAGCCTTCCCCTGGATATGTCCCTCAGCATCTAATCGATCTGAGCAGCAAAGAGGGATTGGATGGGTGTGTGTTATTACTGGCACGTAAATCCCAGGCAAGTATTACTTGTTTTACTGTTCTCTTGACCGCCTTCCTGCAAAAGCCTTCTGCCCATATTGCATCCCTCCCATAGCAGGCGGCATCAGTAAGCTCTTCATGAACTTCCATTGTTGGGCCTCAAGGGTTAGAACTTTTTCTTCCTTTCCATGCCGGCCGGTGCTTTTTTTTTCCTCATAGTCCCATTTCTCGGCATTTTCTTCTTCCTGTGGGGAATACTGGGAAAGGCTAGAGAGTTCAGGGGGGCAATCACTAGAGCCATGACTTGTTCGGCTCCTTGCAATTGAGCTCCTGTTTCGCAATTTGATCAGCTTTGCTATTTCTTGGCTCACAGGAGATCCAGCTCTCTGATGGCCCCTACAGTGCATCACTGCTGCCCAGGCAGGAGCTGCACTGCTTCTTAAAGAGCCAGAATGAAATCTCTGTTTTATGTGGGACTTTATAGTAGTTAACATTCCTCTTGCTTTCCAAATGACAACATGAGGATTTAGCACATGGAACCTGTATTTAGAGTCAGTAAAAATATTTAATATTTTATCCTTTGCTAACTGCAATGCTCTCACTAATGCAATCAGTTCAGCCTTCTGGGCTAAAGTCAGGGATGGCAGGACTTCGGCTTCTGTGATTTCATCTAGACTAACCAAGGCAGAGCCAGCCTATTGGGTTCTCACTTCTTCAAAACTGCTCCCATCATTAAGTCACTCGACCTCAGGGCTATGAAAAGGCTCATCTGGAAGATCAGACCTGCTGGCGTAAGTTGATTCAAGGGTCTCTATACATTCTGCATTAAGTCTCCACCCTTGACCACTGGAAGCAGAGTTGCTGGGTTCAGGGTTTGGCACACCTTCAAGGTAAGGTCAGGGGTGTCCTTAAGAAGGGGCCTGATATCTTGCTAACCTTCCTTCAGTCAAAAATGATGTCCTTTGACCTCCAGCACATATTGTACCTGATGAGAGGTCAACACAACCAAGTGTAGTCCCAAGGTGAGCTTGGAAGCCTCATTAACCAACAGGGCTGTGGCTGCTAAAGCCTGCAGGCAATTTAGCAATCCCAGGGCCGCTGAGTCCAGTTGTTTTGCAAAGCAAGCCAGTACTGCCTGAGTCAGTCCGAGTCTCGGGGTCAGGACTCCTAGCGCTGCCTCTGACCTCTGTGAGCACACACGGTAAATGGCATGTCCACATCTGGAAGCCCCAGTGCTCTGCTTGACTCAGTCTTTAGAGTCTCAAAGCCCTGCTAGTGATTCTTATTCAGTTGAAGGGCTTCCCTTTCTCCTCCCTGTAGAGCCTCAAGTAGGGGTTTTACTGTGAGGCTGTAATTTAGAATCCAGATGTAACAGAAGCCAGCCATTCTGAGAAGCCTCGGAGTTGCCTCTTTTTGGCTGGAGATGGTAATGCACTAATTGTTCGTTTTTGATCTATGATCGGGGCTTCTGCTGCTGGGGTCAAAAGAAAACCCTAAATATTGAATCCATCGCTGTGAGATCTGTACCTTTGTTACAGAGGCTTTAGAGCCCCTTTGCCAGGAAATTAGGACCCTAATGGTATCTGATGTGAATGAATCTCGTTTGGCCACACTACTTCGTCAATGATCACCAACATATGGTAGAAGAGTTCCCATCTCAAGGCTCAATTCCCTCAGCTGCCTTGCTAATTCATTTCCAAAGGTTGGCAGCTGTCCAAAAACCCTGAAGAAATACTGTCATGTGTACTGAGTATCTGTCAAGGTGTCAGGGTTCCTCCATTCAAAGGCAAAATTGGCATTAAGAGTTTGAATATAGATGAATACAGAAAAAGAATCTTTGAGGTTCATAACAGAGAAATACTGGGTGCTCCTGGCACTGGGGTGAGGAGAGTCTGCATTTGGCACAAGTGGGTGAACAGGGATGACCTCCTCATTCACTGCTCCAAAGTCCTGCACAAACAGTTATTCCCCACTAGGTTTCTGAATGGGGAGGATGGGGGTGTTGCAAGGGAACTGCTGCTGTTGCTAAGTCGCTTCAGTCATGTCCGCCTCTGCAACCCCATAGACAGCAGCCCACCAGGCTCCCCCGTCCCTGGGATCCAGGCAAGAACACTGGAGTCGGTTGCCATTTCCTTCTCCAATGCAGGCAAGTGAAAAGTGAAAGTGAAGTCGCTCAATCGTGTCCGACTCTTCATGACCTCATGGACTGCAGCCCACCAGGCTCCTCCATCCATGGGATTTTCCAGGCAAGAGTACTGGAGTGGGGTGCCATTGCCTTCTCCGCCAAGGGGACTGGTAGGGCCTAAAGAGTCCGTGTTTTAGGAATTTTCTGACCAGTGGTTGGATCCCCTTCAGGGCTTCTGGCTTTAAAAGACATTGTCTCTTTCAGTGGTATCTGTCCCAAGGTCTTAATTTTTTTTTTTTTTAACTCTATCAGAAAAAAATTGGCAGTGTTTGATGTTTTTGTTCTTGTTTCATGTATTGACTTTTTTTTTGTTGCTTTTTTAAATTGAAGTGTGGTTCTTTTATAGTGTGTGTTAATCTCTACTGTTCAGCAAAGTGACTCAGTTTTTCCATAAAATACACTCTGTTTTAAATACTCTTTTCCGTTATATCCTGGGAGATTGGAACTAGTTCCTTGTGCTATATAGTAGAGCCTTGTTGTTTATGCATTCTAAATATAATAGTTTGCATCTTGTTGTTCAGCTGATCAGTCGTGTCTGACTTTTCTCAACCCCATGGACGGCAGCATGTCAAGCTTCCCTGTCCTTCACTGCCTCCTGGAGCTTCCTCAAACTCGTGTACATTGAGTTGGTGATGCCATCCATTTTGTCCTCTGTCATCCTGTTCTCCTGCCTTCAAACTTTCCCAGCATCAGGATCTTTTCTAATGAGTCAGTTCTTCACATCAGGTGGCCAAAGTGTTGGAGCTTCAGATTCAGCATCAGTCTTTCCAATGAACATTTAGGACTGATTTCCTTTAGGATTGACTGCTTTGGTCTCCTTGCAGTCCAAGGGACTCTCAAGAGTCTTCTCCAACACCACAGTTCAAAGACATCAATTCTTCGGTACTCAGCTTTCTTTATAGTTGAACTCTCACATCCACACATGACTACTGGAAAAACCATAGTTTTGACTATACTGATCTTTGTCAGCAAGGTAATGTCTCTGATGTTTAATGCACTGTCTAGGTTGGTCACAGCTTTTCTTCCAAGGAGCAAGTGTCTTTTCATTTCATGGCTGCAGTCACCATCTGCAGTGACTTTGGAGCCCAAGAAAATAAAGTCTGTCACTGTTTCCATTGTTTCCCCATCTATTTGCCAAGAAGTGATAGGACCAGATGCCATGATCTTAGTTTTTTGAATGTTGAGTTTTAAGCCAGCTTTTTCACTCTCCTCTTTCACGTTCATCAAGAGGCTCTATAGTTCCTCTTAGCTTTCTGCCATTAAGGTGGCATCATCTGCATATCTGAGGTTATTGATATTTTTCCTGGCAAGCTTGATTCCAGCTTGTGCTTCATCCATCCTGGCATTTTGCATGATGTACTCTGCATATAGGTTAAATAAGCAGGGTGACAATATACAGCCTTGATTTAGAACCAGTCCATTGTTCCATGTCTGGTTCTAACTTGCTTCTTGACTTCACAGGAAGCAGCTAATGTGGTCTGGTAGTCCCATCTCTTTAAGAATTTTCTACAGTTTGCTGCGATCCACACAGTCAAAGGCTTTGGCATAGTCAATAAAGCAGAAACAGATGTTTTTCTGGAACTCCCTTGCTTTCTCTATGATGCAACTGATGTTGGCAATTTGATTTCTGGTTCCTCTGCCTTTTCTAAATCCAGCTACCCACCCCAAATTCCCAGTCCATCCCTCTCCTCCCGGCCTCCACCTTGTGAACCACTAGTCTGTTCTCTAGTCTGTAGGCCTGTTTCTGTTTTGTAGATATGTTCATTTGTGGTCATATTTTAAATTTCACATATAAGTGATACCATGTGGTATTATTATTCTTTTTCTGTATTTCCCTTCGTATGATTATCTCCCATTGTATCCATGTTGCTGCAAATGACATTATATTGTTCTTTTTTTATAGCTGATTAGTATACCATTGTATATATGTACTACATCTTCTTGATCCACTCATCTGTGGATGGACATTTAGGTCATTTCTGTGTTTTGGCCATTCTGAATAGTGCCATGAACATCGGGTGGAAGTGTATTTTTATTTTGGACGTGCCTTGTCTTCCTTGCTGCATCCATGCTTTCTCTAGCTGCTGTGACTGGGGCTACTCTTCGTTGAGGTGCTTGGAATTTTTGCAGTGGCTTGTCTTGTTGCGGAGTTCAGGCTCAGTAATTATGACACAAGAGCTTAGTTTCCTCATGGCTCAATCCTGAATCAGGGATTGAACCCATGTACCCTGCATTGGCCGGTGGATTCCTAACCACTAGACCATCAGGGAAGTCCACATGTATCTTGTTGAATCACAGTTTTGCCCCAGTATATGCTCCAGGCCTTAGTCTTTATTCTTTAATTTATTTATCTTTTGGCCATGCTGAACGACACGTGAGATCTTAGTTTCCCAACCAGGGATCAAATTTGCAGCCCGTGCAATGGCAGAGTGGAGTCCTAACCACTGGACTGTCCTGAATATGTAACTTCTAACTGATACATAACAAAGTATGCATAAATACCAGATTTAGGACCTCTGTGGGCAGAAGTGGGAAGGAAGGAAATGAAACAGAGGTTAAGCAGCGTTCTGGTATGTTGGTGCTCATTATTCTCCACATATTTGTTAATATCTGATATTTGTCTCTCTCTCTCTGAGCCACTTCACTCTGTATGACAGATTCTAGGTCCAGCCACATCATTAAAATAACCCAATTTCACTCTTTTTAATGGCGGAGTAATATTCCTTTGTATACCTATACCACATTTTCTTTATCCCTTCATCTGTAAGTGGACATTTAAGTTGCTTCCATGTCCTGGATATTATAAATAGTACTGCTGTGAACACTGGGGTACATGTGTCTTTCTGATTTATGATTTTCTCAGAAGTACATGCCCAGTAGAAGGATTGCTGTGCCCCAGGCCTTAATCTTATTCTTATAGGGGAAGGAATTTCGCCCTTCCTAGAACCAAGTTATCCCAAACTACAAGATCCAATGTTCTCTAATTTCTTATAGGATGTCCTGGGAAATATTTTGATGACCAGCAGGTGGGTCATCTGGGGCTATCACTACCAATGGATGCATTTTCTGTTTGAATTCTTTCCTCCCTGGATTTCACCTATCCTAAGACTACATGGCTCCTATTTAGCAAACCTCTCCCGAGGAGGGGGACAGGGCATTCTGGCTTATATAGAAAGGAGAGTAGTGAGAGCGGACCTGAGTCCGCAGGGAGGGGAGACATAAACCCTTCTTTTGACTGCCCATCATCTCCCATCACAGTACAGTCATGGCTGGAGAGGGGGCCGGCTGGTTAAGTCATAACGGAGCAGT